GGGCGGCGGGCGGCGGTTCCGGATCGAGCCATTCGCATTATCCTTGGAGCCTTTCGTGCCGCCGTCAAGCCATGGAATTTCCAATGCAACCTTTTCCAGATGGGGGCTCGTTCTTTCAGTGCTCCCCTCGCGCAGGATGGCAGATAGAGTGGCGACATCTAGACTGCCTTTTACACAGTACCGCTGTCTGCGGATGATCGCCCCGGGGACATGGCGGGGGGGGGGATCCAGGGGATGTGGGTGTGACTCACACCCGCATCCACTGGATCCCCATCCCCCCTCCCGAAAGGAGTGGCCCTAAAGGACCGCGTTCTATTGTATCTGCCAGGCCCTCGTTTAGTGCGATATTTGTCCTGGCCATATGACTTGCGCAATTTCACAGAGAGTTGGCTGCTGCGTGGACCCTGGGAGACACCCTCCCGATCCAGATGCCGCGCGTCGTGGGCCCCCCAAGGGCGAAACCATTGAGGAGGAAGAGGAGGAGGAGGAGGAGGAGGAGGAGGAGGAGGAGAAGGAGGAGGTGGAGGACGAGGAGGAGGAGGGGGAGGAGGAGGAGGAGGAGAAGGAATAGGAAGAACAGGAGGAGGAGGAGGAGGAGGAGGAGGAGGAGGAGGAGGAGGGGGAGGGAGGGAGGGAGGGGGGAGGGAGGAGGGGAGGAGGGAGGGAGGGAGGGAGGGAGCAGAAAGGATGAACAACGGGGGGAAGAGGGGGAGCGGGGATCGGGCGAAGGAGGGCGGCGGGAGGAAGAGGAGGAGGCGAGGGCAGACGGGGGCCATGAGTCATGAGGGGGGAGGGGGTCCTTATCTCGCGATGGTGGTGGCGATGCCAATTGCCGATCCACCGTTGGAGCCCCACTGGCTTCCAGACCTTAGATTCCTTATCCAAGGTCCCCCTACGCCCCCGCCGCGGGCCCACTGGCCCAGCCCACCGCCGCTTCACAGGAAGACTTGATCGCGGCCATCCAGGCCATTGAGGAGGAGGTAACAGCCAGGGTGTTGGCGGAGCGGGACGCCTGGGACGCCGACGACGAGGTCACTGACGCGGAAGAGCCAGAGGGTGTCTAGATGCGGAAAATGAGCATCTTTGCGTCTACATCCAATGTGTGCTCCTACTCCTCTCTACACACACACACGTGTTATCCCCTATCATGCGTTCCTCGGCTCCTGGGCTTTCGCTTCGCCCCTCATTTTTACCCTCCGTGCCCCTCGTATTACCGTATTACCTGTTTCGTACCTATTACTACATCTTTGGCTGTACATGATTTGTCCTCTTTACCACCCACACAGTCCTCGGATTGTTAAGCATCATTCCCTTTCCATTCCTCTACTTCACTTCCTTCTCATCACTTAATATTTATACGCGTACTGAGACATCTTCCTTCTACTTCACTTCATCATACTTCACTTAATCATCTTACTAATCAATCCTGATATACTTGCAATCTGCCACATCCATTTCGGACACGATAACCCCCCCTCTGCACCCAACACGGTGCCCTTATAAGTGGAACCGTGGTGGGAACAGTTCTGGGGACAGCGGGGACAGTGCGACAGTGGTGGGGCCACTGGTGGGGACAGTAGGGGCGGTGGTGGAACCAGTGGGGACAGCGGTGGTGAGGACAGTGGTGCTGGGAACACCAGTGGGGGATGTGATGCGGACGGTGGTGGGGACCGGGAGTCGTTTGCTGGCGGTGAGTAGGGCGGGGGGAGGGGGGGGGGGGGGGGGGGAGGGGGAGGGGGGAGGGGGGGGGGAGGGGGGGGGGGGGAGGGGTTCGAACCGGTAGTGACCCCCCCGGTTTTCGATAGGGGGGGGGGGGGGGGAGGGGTTTAGGGGAGGGAGGGTTTTTGCCGGGGGGGGGGGGGGGAGGGGTTCCAGCAGGGGTGGGGGGGATTTTCGGAGGGGGGGGGGGGCGACCCCCGGGCTCCAGAGGAAAAGGTTGGCAATTTTCCACAGTAAAGCGGCGGTGGATCACGCTCTCTCATATCATGGCGTGGGCCATGATATTTCCCCAGATTCCATGGCGCCTCTTCTTGTTTCATTACGTCCCTGGCCCCCTCGCTGGGCCGCGCACATGCCGCCGGTCATGATTTGCACACCCCCCCTCTTGGACACCCCCCTCTTTGGCCGCTCCCGACCCGTGGCCGCCTGAAAGTGGGGGCCATGGTGTCTCCCCAGATCTCGTGGCCCCTTGTTTTCTTTCAATGCGTTCCGTGGTTCCCCCTCGTCCACGCACATGCCTCAGTTGGGGTCATGGTGTCTCCCCGGGTCGTATGGCTACCTCTTCTTCTCATTAGCATGTTTCGTCTTCGTATGCTTCTTTCAGTGCGTTCCGTGGTTCCCCCTCGTGCGCGCACCTGCCAGTGGTGGTATATCCCTGGATCTCGTAGCCCCCTCTGCTTCTCTCAATGCGTGCCGTGATCCCTTCCACGTCCGCGCACATGCCTCGGGCCATGATTTGCGAGCGTCCCTCTTGGACGCCCCCCTCGTGGCCGCCCCCGAGGTTTGCCGCGCGGGGCCTGGCGGTGCCTCCGCTGCAGCTGGGCGAGCTGCGCCCCGCCCCTGCAGGCCGGAGGAGATCAAAGCAAGTACGCTCTCGCGGCCCTGGAGCCGTCCGAGGTGGCCCGGCATCGGCGGCGAACCCGTGTGGGGGGGGGAGAAGGGGCGGGCTTTCTCTCGCCGTGCGCGTTCCACTACTCGCAGAGTGCCTGCTCGCAGCAGACGTCCGAACAACGCATGTCCGTTTCCGATGTAATGTATTGTAGATCCCCCGCGGCGGATCCAGGCCATCTAAAGAGTAGTTACATACTTTGCGAGTAAGCAGAAGCCTCGGAAGTCCCTGGGCCTCCTGAGAAGTGGTTCAGCCTTCCCCGAAGACGCCAGAAGCTTCTCAGAAGGCCGGAGGGCTCCTCAGAAGTCCCACCGCCTTCCGAGAAGGCATTCTCCTTCTCGTTTCCCCCCTTCTTACGACGCCGACAGCACTGGTTCCGGCCAGCAGGAAGGGCGGGCAGGTTCGAGGGTCTGGGCTGGGAAATTTCCTGACCGATTTGTCAGGGTCCCAACCAATTCAGACCCCCTGGCCGCCTCCAATCAATTGCAATGCCGTTCGGGAAAAGCAGTGTCTCGAACAAATCAAGACGGCGGGTGTTTGTCGTTTTCGGCCCCAGTTGGATTGTGCTGTCTTCCTCTCGCTTTCGCACTCTGTTCTTGAGCCTTCTGGGAAGCCCTCGTCTCCACAGCTGGATTCTCCTCGAAGAAGTCTGGCCACAACGCACCCTGGAAGGGGGCCGTGGAGTAGCAGCATCGGTATCGGCTTGCTCCCTCGTGGAGGCGTGGCCGGCATGGGCAGTTTCGACTTTTCCGAGCTCTACCAGCTGAGCGACGACCGTTTGGGCTCTGGCTCCATCGGGACGGTCCGCAAGGCGGTTCGCCGCTCGGACTCACTGGTGGTGGCTCTCAAGGTACAGGTCTCTCAAGTGGGGCCAGAGCGGATAGCGTCGGAGGATCGCGACGCATCTCCGATGCATCGGCGATGCGATTCGATGTGGAACCCGAGTTTCTCCGTGCCGCCGTCGACGATGCGCCGCCGACGTCGCCGATGTTGCCGACACATCGCCGATGCAACGCCGATGCAATGCCGATGCACCGCTGACGCATCGGCGATGCAGCACGATTCTCCGACGCATTTGCTCGGACCCCACGTGGGAGGCCTCCGCAAGGACGTCAGGTGCCCGCCCGGCGCAGAGGACGCCAGGGAGATGACGAGGCTCGAGGGGGGCCCAGAGCGGCCCGGCGAGTCGAGCGCATGGTGTGTGCGCTGCGGAGTGGATGGGGTGGCGGGTCGGGGACTTGCGGCTCTGTCGGGGGCTGGCCTGCGCACTCCAGAGTTCGTACTAAAAGGGAGGGGGTCTGGACCCTCCAGGACAAGCCATTTCAGACCCCCCCCCCCGTGGGAGAACCCTCCAAAACATCGTCCCCAGATCTAGGCCTCCTAGATGGGGCCGGAGTAGATGGGGTCGGAGGATCGCGCCGCATGGCCGATGCATCGGCGATGCGGCTCGATGCGGAGCCTGTGTTTCCTCACGCGGACGTCGCCGATGCATTGACGGTGCATCGCCGATACATCGCCGATGCATCGCCGATGCATCGGCGATGCGGCGCGATCCTCCGACCCCATCTATTCCGACCCCACCTAGGAGGCCTCTACCAGACCCCCCCGGCCCGCCAAGATAGCCTGGAAGAGACCCCCCCCGAAATGAGACCCCCCTCCCTTTATTACGAAATCTGGAGTAGTCAAGACACTCCGGTGACAGGGCCAGGCGATTGGGTGAGGGCTCCATAGGATCCGAGCAGCATCGGACCACCTCCCAGACATGCGGTCTGCAGGTCCCGACCCTTTCCCCGGGGCCGGTTTTTCTGCGCGAGCAGTGTTTCTGCGAGTGCCTCTGGAGGCCAAAACAAGCAGAAGCCTCTCGTAGGGAATGGTTCACCACAGCCGTTTTCCACGAGCGGCGAACGCATCCGTGTCCGCGCGCCCTCGCGGCGTGGACTCCCGGGGGGCGCGATTTTGCGGATACGCCCCGCGCGGGGCATCCGCGGAAATGCACTCTGTATCCGCGGGGCTGCAGCCCAGGAGCCTGGCCCGCAGGGCCGCGGGTATGGACAGGTTGTCCGCGCACGAGTCTGATCTTCTGCGACTTCGGATCGCAGGGTGCAGACCTGCACGCGTCGCGGCCAGACCCCTCCTGGGTCCAGGACTGGCTAGGCCAAGGCCGGTGCAGGAGTGTGCTCGGCGACCTCGAGGGTGAGGCCGAGGAGAGACCCTGGCCTGCGGCGCCTGTGCCGCCCGGCAGGCGTCAAGCCCACGGGCTTGTCTGGGAACCCTCGAGTGTTTGCGTGAGCCCCAAGAGGCGCGAGTACGAGTTCATGGCGGCGCTGTCGCACCCGTCCATAGTGCGCGCCTTCGCGCTCCACGAGGCCGCCGCCAACGTCGTCGTGTGCATGGAGTACGTCGACGGCGGCAGCCTGGATGCCCACGTCGAGAGCCGCGGTGCTCACCGCTGCCGCTGCCCCCACTTGAGATCTTGAGGTCTCAGGTGTTCGGTCCTTGCCGTCGGTTCTCAACGGTTTTCTGGCCTCGGGATGCTCTCCGGCAGCTGCGCCTCGCCGAGTGCGTTCTGGGGGTGCAAAGATCGTCCCGAGCGGCCGCCAGGGAGCCGAGTTATTGCCCGAAAATTACAGTCAGAGGAGGAAGTGGCACCGACACCTCTGCCCTTCCACGTGTTGACTTGGCATTGTTGGAGCCCCCCTGGCAGGCTCTCGTCGCCACGGCTGGATTCTCTTCGAAAGTCTGGTCGCAACGCAAGGTCGGGGGAGCTTCGGGGAAAACGTAAGACTCGAGAAAGCTGGAACTCGGGTTTGCCGACTTTTTTTTGACGAGCGCGTCCTGGATGTTGACCGTCCTGTTCTCGTGGGATGTCTGCAGCGGGAGCCCGCGTCAAATTTCAGATTGCCCCCCGTGCCCGAGTCTTGCGTCTCCCCGAGAGTTGAGCAGCAGCATCAGTACCCCGTGTGGTTGTTCGGTGCAGAAGTCTTCGGAGCTCCGCGCGGATGTCTCCGATCGGGCCCCCCCTGGCTGCGCCTCTGGCGCCGCCCCTGCCGCGCCCCGCGCGCCAGCGAGGTGGGTCCAGCGCCGATCCAAGGCATTCGCGCGAACCTCCGGAAGTTTGTGTCGATGCAGTCTTGTTTCCTCCAGGTGTGCTCTCGCCGGCGGGGGCCACGACGGGAGCGCTGCAGCTTCTGCAGGGTCTGGACTACTTGCACAGCTGCCGGGTGGCGCACAGGGACGTCAAGCCAGCCAACATCCTGCTGGGCGCCCACGCCACGAGCTTCAAGCTAGCAGACTTCAACAGCGCCAAGCAGATCGGCCAGCACGGCGGGCTGAGCAGCGCAATGCTCACCGATCGCGGCACGGCGAGCTACAGCGCCCCGGAGATCCATGCCGGCCACATGTGGAACGAGCGCGTGGACGTGTGGTCTGCTGGGCTCAGCATGCATTTCATGCGCTCCGGGCGGCTGCCCTTCGACCTGGGCAGCCCCCGGGTGCGCGACGCCCTCCGGCGCGCGCAGGCGCCGGCCGTGGACCTCTCCCCGCTCGGGGAGCTGATGGGCAGCCTCGTGCAGCAGTGCCTGGAGGCCAGCCCCCAGGACCGGCCGCCGGCGGTGGAGCTCCTGGCGCATCCGCTGTTCCGCGGCGGCTCCCGGGGGGCGCCGGAGGCGAGCGGCGGCGCCGGACTCTTCTCGTGGCCCGCCGGTCGTCTGGCGGCCGGCAGCCCAAGGGCCTACACGGACGACCTGCTCCCTGGGTGCGGCCTGGTGCGGAAGCTGCTCGCTGGCGGGCGTCGGGACTGCGGCGGCGGCAGGGCAGAGGGCCTGGCGCTGCGGCGGCCCCACAGGCGGCTTCACACCGCGCATCTGGGCGATCAGAGCACGCTGCTGTGGCGCCGCCTCGCAGAGAGGCGGTTCTCTCGGAAGGCGGGGAAGTTGACGGCGATGGTCAGCCGCTGCCGGTCTGATGGTGAAGTGTTGTCGTTGATCAGGCCGGCGGAAGTGAGCAGTGATGAAGTCGAAGCCAGTGATCAATCAGACGGCAGTGAGTAGTAGTAGTAGTATGTTTTGGTTATGGCGTTGGAATAGAGCGTGTTTTGTTCGGTCCTGCTTCGAAGGGCCGCCACGTTTTTTTTTGTCCGCGGCGCGTTGTAGGCGGCAGCCAGCTGGCCACGAGAAGCGATGGCGTAACTCGTTGCACGCACGCACCCACACACAGACGCTCACACGCAAACGCACACGCATACGCACACACACACACACACACGAACACGCACACACACACACACACACACACACACACACACACACGCGAACACGAACACGAACACGAACACGAACACGAACACGAACACAAACAAAAACAATAACAATAACAATAACACACACAAACACACACGCAGCCTCCGATATGGACGCCAAGGAGCAGCAGCCAACGATGTGGACGTCCTCTAGGTGCAGTCCGAGCAGCTCTGTCGCCAGCTCGGCGCCGACCCGTCGGAGTTCGACCTCCCGGCGTGCTTCACGAAGCTGGCGGCACGGCTGGAGAATCATGTGGTTGCAGCTCCTCCTGCTCAGCCTGCTGACGGGGCTCAGCGAGGGCACGGCGGCCCGGCCCTTCCCGAGCAGCCTGCGCAGCAGCAGCCTGGGGCCGCAGGAGAGGCCAGCATGGCGGTCGACGAGGACGGCCTCCCCATCCCCACGGAGGAGGTGAAGCAGTGGTTCAGCGGCTCGGAGGCGGAACGCAAGCCGCCAGACGCCACTGAGCAGCCTGATACGTACAAGCGCTACTTGGAGCTGCAGCAGCAGGCCTTCGCCAACTTGTGCAAGCGCCAGCGCTGTAGGTAGCCTCATGCTGCACCTGGTGCTGCGAAGCCATGAGTTGGGTTTCGGCGTCTCGCCATGGCGTTCGGCCGTCGTCCAGGGGCTGCAGGAAATGAACCTGGTCCCATCCTGGGTAGGTCCGCACTGGGCGGCCCCTCTGCAGGCGTCGAGCGGTTCCGCTGTCCGCGCCCTTGCTAAGGTACACCGCACTCACATCTATACCCCTGGGTGGGTGTATGTGCGGCCGTTTTTGCGCTGTCATGTGCGCGCATGTGCGCGGCATGTGCCAGTCATGTGCCAGGCCTGTGCGGTCCTTCTTGGATGGACTTCCTACTGTGCACGTCGTGCCCTGGCATGTGCGGGGATGTGCGCTGTGTTTTGATGTATCCATCATACGCACATGCACGCACAGTCCGACGCACATGCGCGCACATGCCTGCACATGCGGGAGGTGTTCGAGAATCGCAGATCTGTCATCGGCACATGCACGCACATGCCTGTGCAACCTCTCTTCGGGGGGCCGCGCGGGCCCGCACATGCACGCACATGCGGTGAAGCGCGCGGGCGCACATGCGTGCACATCCCAATGCACATGCACGCTCATGCCCTAGGAGCTGTCTGGGACCCTTGTGCCTCCAATGCCTCCTGGCCTTCGCAGAGCCAACCTGGGGCGTGCCAGGGCTTCCTGAAAGAGTTTGTTGTGCGTTTAGACTCGCCCGCTGCTGGCGGGGGCGGTTATTCACCCGGTTCGTGAGCTGGCGGTGGCGCGCCCGCCTAATAAAATACTCCCCCGCGCGCCTTCTCAGCTCGGCCGGAGAAGCAGGGATGGGGGGGGGGGGGAGGTGGAGGGGGGGGAGGAGGGGGGGCGGAGGAGGCGGGCGCCCCCGGCCACTGGCCAGCCTGCCTGTTCGGCTCGGCCAGAGGAGAAGGAGGAGGAGGAGGAGGAGGAGGAGGAGGAGGAGGAGGTGAGAGTTGCGAGGCTGTCTCAGGCGAAAGTGGCTTGACGGCCCGAGCTCAGGGAATCTCGGAATCGCTGGCCTGGCTCGGCCACCGGCGAGCTCGGCCTGTGCGAATACTGTGCGTACCTGTGCAGTGCATGTGCGGGACGTGCAAGAATGCCGGGGCCGGCGTTCGTCTCCGGACGCCGGCGCGTTCGCGTCCGGCCAGTTCCGCGTGAGACGTCGTCGGCAATTTGGAGGCCGACGTGCTTTGACATGAAGTGATCTGGCCACCTTCGCCTGAGACATCCTCGCAACTCTGGTCTCGGAGATGCCCTGCCCCATGGTGGCCCGGCCACTTTCGCTTGAGACATCCTCGGGACTCTGGGTTTCGAGACGCCCTGAGCTGAGGTGGTTAGACCACTTTCGCCTGAGACATCCTCGCAACTCTGACCTCAGAGATCTCCTGCCCCCTGCTGGTCAGGCCACGGTCGCCTGAGACATCCTCGCAAGTCTCGATTCCGATATGCCCCGAGCTGAGGTGGTCAGCCACTGTCGCCTGAGACATCTTCGCAACCCTGATCTCAATGATACCCTGCTCGATAGTGTCTCGGCCCCTTTCGCCTGAGACATCCTCGGAACTCTAGGTTCCGAGACGCCCTGAGCTGAGGTGGTTAGACCACTTTCGCTTTAGACATCCTCGCCCGAGATGCCCTGAGTTGAGCTGTTCAGGCCACTTTTGCCTGAGACATCCTCGCAACTCTGACCTCAATGATGCCCTGCTCCATAGTGTCTCGGCCTTTTTCGCCTGAGACCCTCGCAACTCTGGGTTCTGAGATGCCCTGAGCAGGTGGTCAGGCCAGTCCTGCCTGAGACATCCTCGCAACTCTGGGCTCCGAGATGCCCTGGGCTGAGGTGGTCAGACCACTCTCCCCAGAGACATCCTCGCAACTCTGACCTCAGAGATCTCTTGCCCCATGGTGGTCAGGCCACTTTCGCTTGAGACATCCTCACAACTCAGACCTCGGAGGTGTCCTGCCCCATGGTCGTCTGGTCACCTTGACCAGCGACATCCTCGCCACTCTGGTTTCCAAGATGCCCTGCCCCATGGTGATCCGGCCACGCTTGCCTGAGACATCCTCGGAACTCTGGGTTGCGAAATGCCCCGAGCTCAGGTGGTCAGGCCACTATCGCCTGCGACATCTCTGCGGCATGTGCGGGCATGTGCGTCTATGCTTTCAGAGTTTTGCTTGACCGTGCATTCGACTGTGCGTCGGACGGTGTGGCATGTGCGCGCATCTGCGGCAATGCTGTTGAGGCTTTTGTATATTTGCATGGGCATGTGCATGCGACTGTGCGGCATGTGCCTGCATGTGCGGCCCCTTCCGGACCACAATTTCAAAGTGAGCATTATAGAAGTGAGCGCTATAGAAGTGAGTCCGGTGTAGCCGTGAACCTCCCTTCGCAGGTGCTCCAGGGGGGGGGGGGGCCGATGTGGGCTCATCGGCGGTGCGGCCAGGAGCGCAGTTGCGGCCCCCTGGCGGCCGAGCGATGGAGCACTGGATGGGGTTCGCCCCGGTGCTGCAGGACGCGCGACGGCGGCCTCTGCTCTGGCGATCGGTCAGAGCGCGGGGCAACGACAAGTGCGGCGACCTCGAGATCTGGACGTTCAATAGCTCAGGCTGGGGCACTCACCGCAGGCTGGAGGGCGCCGCGGCGAAGCGGTGCTGTTACGCGCTACAGGAAACCAAGTTGCGGGGCGACGCCATCGCGACGGTCCAAAAGTCGTTGGTGGGCGAGCGCTGGCGGCTGGCGCCCGTGTCATCGGTGGCCACCCAGGACGGCTACCAGGAGGTGGGCATTTCGGCTGGCGTGGCCGTTGCGGCGCCGAAGCACATCGGCCTGGCGCGTGTGGCGGGCGCCTCCTCGTGGCATATCTCCCCGGCCGGGAGTCGATGGCGCGCCGCCGTGGCGTGAGTCGCCATGGGCAGGGGGCTCGTCGTCGCCAGCGTTCACGTGTGGACGGGCGAGGGCCTCGGCGGGCGCAACAAGCGCCCGCTGCGCCACGTGCAAGGCCGCGTGCACCAGACCGGGTTGCCGTGGGTGCTCGGAGGCGATTTCCAGCAGGCGCCCGTGGAGCTCCAGCGTAGTCCCAGCGCCCAGGCCTCGGGCGCTCTCATCGTGTACCCGACGTCGGAGCTGGTGACATGCCGCAGCGGCGTGGTCGACAACACCATCGATTACTTCTTGGTGGACGTGGCGCTGGAGAAAAGGCTCGTCAGCGTGTGGGTGGATGAGGATTGGCCCTCGGCCCCGCACAAGCCAGTGGGGCTGCGCCTGGCCACGCGGCCCATCGAGGCCTGGGAGCGGGTGTTCATGCGGCCCGCGCTTCTGCCACCGCGCATCATCGGGCGCCAGCAGGGGCCGCCGAACTATCCCGCCTGCCCGACCTTCACAGATAAGGAGGTCGCCTCCAAGGCCTGGGCTGGCGTCGTCAGCCGATTGGATCAAGAGGCGCGCAGCATCCGAGGGCTTGAATGGGCCCCCCACAGGCCAGAGGCGGGAAGGGCGAGGGGCAGCGTCTTCCAGCGCCAGCGCGTCGCGGAGCCGCAGAGAGCCAATCACGCGGCAGTGCAGCATGCGGGCCAGCTGTGGCGATGGCTGGAGCGGACGCTGGGGCTGTTGCAGGCCCGCTACGCGCAGGCCACGGAGGACTTGACCATGCAGAAGGGCTGCTGGGCGCTGGAGCGGTTCCTGGGCGACAAAGCCGCGAGCGGGCTGGCGGCGTTGGATGCAGCGCGGCACCTCTTGGCAGCGGCGCATGGCGGCGGTGGCAGCGGGCCGCCTCCGCCCACCTTCGCCGTCAGCGCGCCGGGCCCTCGGGGCGCCGGCGTGGCCAGACGGGCAAGAAGCCCAGGACGCAGACGGCGCGTGAGAGGCGTGGGCCATGGGGGCCACGCGGGAGGCGGACGCGGTCGAGATGGCGGCGCAGGCCAAGCGGGCCAGCTCTTGGAAGGGCAAGCTCGCCAAGGCCGCAGACGGATCGGCGGGCCTGCTTCACCGCTTCAGCAAACCCGCGCCGATTTGGCAGCCCAGGCAGGCCGAGCAGCCCGAGGACTCGGCATCACCTGAGCGGGCGGCGGCGGAGGCACTGACCGATTGTGCCGAGGTCTGGCAGTTCTGCCATCCAGCGCAGGAGGGGGGGCGGCCCTGGCTCGCGGCCGCGCGCGAGCCTCTGCCGCCCCTCGAGGTTTCGACCCTGCGCGACCTCTCCAGGCGCTTCGAGAAGCGCACGGGCATCGGAGTGGACCGCTGGCGCCCGTCCATGCTCGACGGCATTTCCGGCGCGGGTGCCGATGCCGGGCTGGGCGTCCTCGAGGAGACCGGGCGATTTTCGGCTGGTGCATGCCGGTCGTATTGTCGTCTTCCTCATACCGAAGTCCTCCGCGAAGGACAGGGCCATCGGCGCGCTGTCCACGCTGGTGAGAATCTGGGAGTGGTTACGCGCCCCCCATCTCCAGCAGTGGCACCGCGAGCACCCACGAGAGTAGGACTGTACCAACCACGACCGCGGGAGGCCGCGGCGTGGGAGTTCATGGCAGCGGACGAAACGGTGGGCCCATCCGCCGATGACCACAACACCGAGGCGGTGGTCACAGCGGTCATGGACTCGGTGAAGGCCTTCGAGAACGTGCCGCTGATCGAGTTACGCTAGGTTGGCTAGCAATGGAGCTTCCCGCCCTCCATCCTGGCGGCGGCGACGTCTATCTTCGCGATGGCCAGGACCATGGTCGTTGACGGCTGCTTCGCGGCCGAGGTCTCCGCCCAGACGGCCATCGTGGCGAGCAGCAAGTACTCCGTGGCCTTACTGCGCATGCTGTGGATGAAGGGGATGGACCAGCTGGTCGATCGCTTCCCCCACACCAACTGGAAGCTATATGTTGGCGACCTTTGCGCGCAGCAGCCAGCCAAGCAAAAGGCCCTGGTCGACGAGGCGCTGGAGGTGGCCGACGCGGCCATGGAGGTGTTCGCGGAGGTGCGGGGCGCCAAGGCGCAGGCTTCGGGGGTGCGTCTCGGGGCGGACATGCCGATGTCGAGACAGGCGGCGAGGCGCAAGCGGCAGCAGCGTTCTGAGGCCTCGCGCGCTCGCACCAAGCGCTTGGCAGGCCTTCGCGGCCAGGGGCGGCCCATGACCAAGGAGGTTGCCACTGTCTTCCGCGCTGGCCCCCAGCCATCCTGCACTTTCTGGAGCCATGTGCTTGGGCGCATCGGGCCCCCAGATGATTGCGCTACGGAGGCCGTCCGCCGCATCGCTCCGCGGCAAGGTCGGCGGCGTTTCCCTTTTGCTCCTGCTGGCGACGGAGGGCAGGCAGGGCGACCCTATCTTGGAGGCGTCGGCGGCGCCCGTGGTCGAGCGCGCACGGCAGTCTGGAACGATTCCTTCGCGCCCGAGATCCTGGCCCAGGCCTGGCGCCGGCAGCGGGGCAAGGTGGGCGTGGGCGGTGGATGGGGGCTGCGCGCGGCCCCGCGGGCGCCTGCAAAATGTCGATGCGGCGCGCAGGTTGGACGCGGCCTGCATGGGGCGTGCCCCGCTCGCGGGCCCAGCTCGACCTGGGGCTCTCGGAGGTGCGCCCCACGGACGTCCAAGCCACGTTCCAGGAGGACCTTGAGTGCCAGTTGTGGGAGAACCGCAGGCGCGAGCCCGACTTAGCCTCGGTCGCGCCTCGGCCGCTCCTCGCCCCATCAGCGGCCAAGCTGAGGCGGCGGGCCACCGATGATTGGGGCACGCCCGCGGCGAACGTTGCGGGGCAGGCGATGGCGCATGGGCCCTGGGCGCAGGAGGAGCTCCACAAGATCGGGAGGGCCTCCGCCAGGGTGCGCCGAGCCTGCAGCCGCGAGCTCGGAACCGCGCATTGCCGTTACTCCATGTGCTGCAAGGCGTTTTCCCGCAGGCTGGAGGCCCCGCGCGAGCGGCAGCACGCGGCGTAGCAGGAGCCCACAGCCTGACATGGACGCGCGGGCTCGTCAAGCACCCGACCTCGGAGTGGCAAGTCCAGCCGGTGGGCGAGCACGTGACCTGGCACGTGCGAGAGGCCAGAGTAGCCCTGGGAGCTGCCTGCGACGAGGCGGCGGCGCACGATCCCACCGTGGAGGCGCCTGGCGACCCCTCAGACGACGACCAAGAGGACGCGTTCGGCTTCGGCGTTGGCCTTGAGGAACCCGACGACTACGACCACGACCTCCGCCCACAAGAGCTCCAAGGGGCGGGGGGATCCGAGCGCTCGTGAATGGGCTCGGCGACGAGGGCGACCTGGCCGAGCTGGAGGCGGAGGCCCCCCCCCGAGCCCGAGTTCGACGGCGAGGTGGTCCGCGACGGCTCCAAGCTGGGTCGCGCCATTTGGGGCCAGACGGGCTGGGCGGCCATGTCGGTTGACGGCGACGGCGTGGCCAGGGCCCAGGCCAGCGTGCCCCTGCCCGTGGCGCTGCCAGTGCAGCGCGCCATCAAGCAAGCCGAGTTGTGGGCGATCCTGCAGATGCTGCGCCACGCCAGAACCGCTGCGCTGAGCGCCAGCGACGGCTGCACGGTGTCCACGGATCACCTGGCCATCGTGTTGGGGTTGCGGCGAGGCCGGGCGTGGTGTTGTTGCGGCAAACGAGCTCACGCTGATGTGCGTAGACAGATCTAATTCTGCATCGGGAATCGCCAGTTCCCCGTTGAGAAACCGAAGCATTGCAAGGCCCACCGGACCAGAGCCGCCATGAACGCGCTGGAGGGCCAGGAACGCTAGGCGGCCCTCGGCAACTACTGGGTCGACCGACTCGCGAAGGCGGCCGCGGAGACGGGCGCGGGTTTCGGGCGCGAGCAGACCATCAAGGAGGCTAGCGACCGAGTCGCTTGGGCCCTCCACAACATCGGTCGGTTGGCGCGAGCGGATAGATAATTGGGGCGACACGCTGGAGGAAACCGCCGAGTTGCCCAAGAAGAAAGGGGAGCCCCTGGCGGCGCGACCTTCAGACCTGGTCCAGCACGACCTGCAGCGTACCAAGGATGACGCGCGACACCGCGCGCGGGGGCGGTAGGCCCGCACGCGCGAGCCCCAGCGACACTCGCATGCCAGCAGGTGCGCGCCGAAGCCCTGGCAGCGCATCGACAAGACCGCCGACGACCCAGTGGCCATCGCAGTCTTGGGCAGGCGAGTCGGACGAGCGCAGTTGCTTGGACCAGGCGCGGCTGCTTGGCGACCCGTCTGGCTGAGGGTGCTGCCGCTGCAAGGGCTGCGAGCTCCAGGGGCGACGGCGAGTCGAAGACGGACTACCTGCTGCGCTCAGCTCGTGGGGCTGGCCCTGCAGCAGCCTTGGCGGCGGCCTCGCCAGCTTCCTCTGCGGCCCCCCGCGCAGCCCCAGCCGCCGCCAGAAAGATGCCCCCAGCTCCTGGGCCCCAGGGGTGGTGGAGGTAGAAACTGGCCCCTGTTTCCAGCCGCCCGGGGAGACTCCCCAAGCCCCCCGGCCGGCGGCTTTGGAGGCCCCCCTGGCCGCCCGCTCGGCGGCGGCGGCGGCGGACAGGAATCGTTTTTTTTCGTTTTTCTCCGCGGCGCGGCGTCGCCCCCGGAGGCGCGCTCGGCCGCTCCAGCGGCGCCAGCGACCGCGCAGGATGAGGTTGTCTCGCTGGGCGGCGCCCCCGACGGCGCGCGGGAGGGCGCGTTCGCCGACGACGAGGTCAGCCCGGCGCAGACGCACGCGGGCGTCGCAGCAGGAGTGGCGCTCGCAGCGGCGGAGGCGGCGGCGCGGCAGGCCGCGGGGCGTGACGGGCCGGAGGGGCCTCTTGCTGGCAGCGGCCGTCGGCCCATGGCGTGGGCGCGGGCGGCCAGTGCGACGGCGGGCGAGCCGAGAGCGCGCCGCCCCCGGACGAGCGCGCGCGCCGGGCCGAGCAGCGTTGAGCCCCAGCTCGTTCTGGGCGGCGGGCCTGGGCGAGCGCGGAGGCCCGCGGCGGAGGGGGCCGGGCCCGGCTTGGGGCCGGCCCCAGCGCCGCCGCTCCCGACACCGCGGCCAGCCCAGGAGCCAGCAGGCTCTGCAGGCGCGGTGGGGCGCCAGCATCCGGTGTTGGAGTGCCGCGGCTACGTGGTCTGCGGGGCGCGCGGCGCCTGCGCCCGGCGCCGCCGCGTCGGTCTCGCGGGGGCCTGCCGTTCGGAGCAGCCAGGCAAAACAGAGGTCGAGCGGCGGCGGCGGGCCGCGCGCGTCCGGAGCAGGCTGCACCCAACGACGAGGAAGCCGCTGACTGGAGGTTGAGCCGAGTCCGCGCGGGTTGAGCGTAGTAGAAACAGGCGCTCCGAGTCGGCACTCCGAGGGTGTTGGATGCACGGGGAGGGTTGCTAGGCAGCCGATTGGGGCCGTCGGGGCGAGCGCAAGTCGAGCTCGCTTATGTGGGGAGTCTGAAACAAGCGCACGCACGCACACACGCACACACGCCACACGCACGCACGCACGCACGCACGCACGCACGCACGCACTTGTTGTTTTGGGCGTCGCGGTCACGCGCTCGGCGGCGCGGTATAGTGAAGGTCGAGAAAAGACAAACACACTCTCACACACAGCATCACCCAGCCGTGTCGGCCCATGCCAATCTGCGTGCAGTGGCCTCGCGGACAGCCCCCCCCAGCGGACGGCGGTGGCCTCTTCGGCGGCCGCGCGGTGAGCGCCGCTGGCACTGGGCGGCGGCGCTCGGGGGCAGCCTGGTCGCTCCCGGCTCCGCAGTGGACGCGGTCGCACCCGCTTTGGGCTTTGTCGTGACAGGGAGGGTGCTCGCCGACCTCGTCGGCCACGATGGCGCGCGGAGTTGCGCCAGTTTCTGGCGGTCTGCCGCCAGCGGCGCCGTCGCCTGGGCGGCCCCGTGCGATCGAAATGGGCACGGAAAGAACGGCCAGCCACACGCAGAGGGGGGGGGGCGTCTTACTAGCACCCGTGCTTCTTAGAAGGCGCGGGTCTGATCTATAGATGTGAAGTTGGCGCCTTCGAAGAAGCAGCCTCCTTCTAAGAAGTTCTCCCTCCTCCCTCGACCGCCTCCAAGGCCAACAGCGGCCCCTGCCCATTTTCGTCGGTGTCGTCGCGGACGCTGCCCATGTGGACGCACGCACAAACACACACACACACACACACACACACACACACACACACACACACACACACACACACTTACACACTTACACACACACACACACACTTACACACACACACACAAACACACACACACACACACACACACACGCGTGTTCGGCGTCGCGGCCACGCGCGCGGCGGCGAGGTATAGCAAGCTCGGACGAGGGGCTGCACACGCGCGAAAACACACACACACACACACACACACACACACACACACACACACACACACACACACACACACACACACACACACACACACACACACACACACACACACACACACACACACACACACACACACACACACACACACGCCCGTAGCCATTTTGGCTCAAGCCATTTTGTCTCATGCCAGCCCTGTGCCAGGGTGGGCAGGCGCGCGCCGTGCCTCTCCTCCTCGTAGGAGAGAGCGGCTCTGTCCTGCTCCCTGTGTCGCGGCCCCTGCGATGGCGGCGGCGTGCGACAACGGCAAGGCGAGGCTCGGGGGGCCGCCCGCCCAGGGGTGGCCCAGCAGCAGGAGGGCTCTGGAGAGCCAGACCATGGGCCCGTCGGCGGCGCGGAGGGCCGCCAGGCGACGGCGCCAGCTGGCCTGCGAGGCCGGGCTGCGGCGCTGGATCGCCGAGGCCGGCGTGCCGGGGTCCTGGCAGGACCGCGAGCGTGCTGCCCGTCCTGCCTTGCGGCTCGCATCGGCAGGCGCGCGGGTGCCAGGCAGCGCCAGGCGTCGCAGGAATGCGGCCTGGCATGCTGCGGTGGCGCCCAGGGCGGGCTTCGCGCAGGCCTGCGACGCCGCCATCTCGGCGGCGGCGAGCGGCCCTCGGCTCGGCGCGGGCCCCTTTGGCGGCCCCTGCGGCGCCAGCCAGGGCGATGGCGGAGCGATGCTGGCGGACGACCCGCCTCAGGAGGACGTGGGTGTGCTGCCCCGCGCCGTGCGGGCGGCCTTGCGGGACGCACCCAACAGCCAGGTCCGCCAGGCGTGG